CACCAACTATATCCTCGTTGCACTTTCGTCCTTTAATTGTTTCCAGTTTACAATTGGTACACTAATTTTTTATTTTTTTTTTGTTAATTTTAGTTCAAAATGACATTCCGGTGCTCATTTTCGCCGGAATAGCTGCTGTGGCCCAGTCAGATCGGAATCAGCGTGATGTGGCACGAGTTGGGCCCAACTGTTTTTACACATGGAACATAATAAGGAAAAATTACACTATTCGTCCACTAACTTTACATTCGTGGCACTTTCATCCTTTAATTGTTTCCGATTTACAAAATTAGAAAAAAAAATATTAAAAAAATTAAAAGAGAAAGAAAAAGCTTTAAATTCCACAAGGGAAGACATGTGGATAAAAAAAAGAATACTAAATAATAAAAAAATCAATTAGTTTAATGATTCTAAACAAAATAAAAAATAAAAAATTACATTTTTATTTAATTAAAAACAAAATGAAAAACAAAATAATTATTTAATGAGAAATAAATATTTTTATTTAATGACTAAATATTTAATAAAAAACTAAATAATTATCATTATTTATTTATTTATTTAAAAAAAATCATTTTTATTTATAAAAAAAGAAATATTTAATGAGTAATAAATATTTAATAAATATTTTTATTTAACGGTTATATATTTAATAAAAAAGAAATATATATCATTTTATTGTTTAATGAAAAAAGAATTATTTAAATAAAAAACAAAATATTTAATGATTAAATAAAAACGAAATATTTAATAAAAAAGAAGTATAAAACGAAATAAATATTTCATGAGTGATAAATATTTTTTATTTAATGATTAAGTATTTAATAAAAAGTTTAAAGCTTTTTCTTTTTCTTTTGATTTTTTAATTTTTTTTCTTCTGATTTTGCAAATTGGAAACAATTAAAGGACGAAAGTGCAACGAATGTAAAGTTAGTGGGCGAATGGTGCAAATTTTCCTTATTTTGTTCCATGTGTAAAAACAGTTGGGCTCACCTCGTGCCACTTCACGCCGATTCCGATCTGACTGGGCGCCACATCAGCTATTCCGGCGAAAATGAGCACTGAAATGTCATTTTGGACTAAAATTACCAAAAAACAAAAAGTGAGTGTACCAATTGTAAACTGGAAACAATTAAAGGACGAAAGTGCAACGAAGATTTAGTTAGTGGACGAATAGTGCAATTTTTCCAAAATGTCTTTGTCCAATTGGGATAAAATCCGGCCATACAATTGGGACAAAGTTAACCACCCAGTATTGGAAAAACAGGTGGGACCCACGTGACACATATTTGACACATTGGTTTTATCGAATCCCAATCCAAGCTCGTAGACGTTAGATTAGGTTGTGATGTGGTTGTTAGTAGTGGCTCGGGAAGAACCGGTTGGGAGTTCGGCCATCATTGTCATGTGAAGGGGACCGGATAAACATCATGGTAGTAGGGTGACTGGGAGTGCTCGGCGGCGCTCGGTGTCCGGCGTCTCTCAAGTGCTCGGCCTTTGGGAGTGCTCGGCGGGAGGTGCCCGGCCGGCCTTTGGGAATGCTCGGCGTAGGGGCGCCCGGCGCAAGGCCCTCGGTGATACGTGTTCAGCGCGAGGTACTCGGATTTGGATGATGCTTGGGGGGTGCTTGGCCTTTGGAGGTGTCCGGCGGTCCTCGTACGTCCGGAGGCTCTCGTGCACGTCGAGGAGGTTAGAACCTCAGGGTGACTTTGTGACCAAGTTACGGAAGAGTTAGTAGTAACAAGGACTCTCGGGATTCAGAAGACATTTTAACCTAATGGAGAGTTTGATACGAAGAAGACTTCTTATTCCATTGGGACTCTCCAAAGTTCTCCTATAAAAGGGAGCAGGTTCATTCATTTTACACAACACACATTCACGAACTATCTCGTTACTCTGCCGTTTTCTCTCTAGACCATCACTGACTTGAGCGTCGGAGTGTTCGCGCCGGGACCACCCCCGGCGTGCTTTGCAGGTACCGACGATCAAGGAGACGCAACCCGGTTCGAGAGGAGCGGTCCAGCGGTTCGGGTATTTGTGGTATAACAGGTTGGTTAAAGGTGGTTATCCCATTCTATCCTCTCTAGTAAACGAATCTTTGGGTACATCAAGCTAAAGGTCGGGACTTGTTAGAAGTCCGATAATTCATATATTCAGTTTATGTTAGTATTTTCACGATTGCCTTTTTATTTTTAAAGTAGTAAATGCGGTCGACTAGGAGAGGGCATATGCACCTATATTACTATAATTTCTAAATATATCATAAGTAATATCTTATTTGCTATATTCATATTCACGACATAAAATTAAATAATTATTGATGGGCATCACTCATCTTTTATGGTGATATTGTCTAAAATGAGATTTTGTATTTGGTTATCGTGATATAAGAGTATATCCCTCCCTATATATTAATTTAAAACGTGTTGAGCTTGGGTGGTAGATTTTCACGTTTAATTCGGATGTTGACATTGAGAAAATCTATGCTTCGTGATGTTGTTTTTATATTATTTTTGCTCTGGAATTAGATTTGATATTAGACATAAATAATTTTACATATATATTCATTAACTCAACTCATGTTGTACATGAGTATTAATACTATGTGAACGGAATTCCCACATGAAAAGACCCACCTCTGCTCTGTATGTGTGTTCTGTGCACGCATTTTGTTTTATGTTAATTCATTTTCTTTTTGTTCTGGTTGAGGATTCCACGTGTACACTTTTTTTTGTAAGACAAAAAATGATATAAGAAGTGGTGGGCTCATGCTTTATTTTTTTGCGATCCCTCAATTGGCCTGAATTTTTTAATTAGAATCTGAATCCAAACAGAGTCCACATTCATTCCCAGTGCCACCTCTATAAATACAAAGCTTGCCGAAGCCCAAAACACATAACACAATACTAAAAGAAATTTTCTAAGGAAAACAAAATCAAGAAAACGTGAACACGCACTCGGGCACACACACAAGAACAACAAGGCCACAAAAAAAAAAATGGAGTGGAGAAAGTGTTATTTAGATGTGATACTTGTGCCGTTGGGTTTGTTGATATGCATGGGATATCACGGGTGGCTGTGGCATAAGGTGCGCACTCAGCCCTTATCAACCATCATCGGAACTAACGCACACGGCCGTCGTTTCTGGGTGGCCGCCATCATGAAGGTACCCCCACCCCACCCCACCCCACCCCACCCCTTCATTATTGCTTCCGTTTTAATTTTAGTTACTACCTACCATTAATTATAATTTAATTATATGCGTCGTCATAAATATCCAACCCCCCCTCCCCCAAAAAAAAATGGACTAATTGATTTAAAAATATTTAGGACATTATTTGTTCTTTTTTGTGATCTTGAACAACAACTGCGTAGTGAGCGAAGCTCCGAATCAACTTCCTTGAGAGACAACTCGAGGGGTTCGAATTACTCGGTTACCGGTTGTTCTCGCTCTAAGCTACTCAACAGTCATTCCACAATGATTGCAAACATATATAGTAAAAGGTAGGGCTGCTCATTCGATCGAAACTAAAAATTTGAACATAAATTTATTGTCTGATTTGTTTTTTAACAAAAAATCTAGCAGCCGTTTGGATTCGGTTTTCGATTATTCACAATAAATAATTAATCTTTTCAATAATTGCATTATATATACTAAATTGATAAATAAAAAATTGCATATGTATAGTGTAGTATAAAGGAAATGATATATTTCCATTTTTTTTTTTTTTGGTT